AAAGGACCAACATTTGCCACAGTAAAACAACTGTGTTGACAGTGTGAAGTTATATCAATCGCCGCTAAATTTCAAATGCAAATATCGGAAACAAAAAGTTACGTACCCGTCAAGATTCAACCTAACTTAGTATTACTTATCCGTAGAATGCATTACAATAAGATTAATGAGCTACATCAAACTACACCCCAACTACCCGCAACATCCTAAGGTCTCTTACGCAAGTAGATTAAAAATAAACTCTAGTCACAAGAGATTTTGACTGCCATCACCGCCGAATTACGAAGCAAAATCGATTTAGGTTTGGTGTTGATCGCTCATCTCCTAGTTGACGCATGACTGCAAAGGACACTCTGATTGACTCCTCGATTGGATCTTTGCGTCTCGCTTCAACCCAACCATAGATGAGAGGATACGGAGTCCACCGGCAACCATCACATAAGACTGAGTTGCGCATAATAATCTGATCAAAGACCCGAGAGAGCGGTGCCAACTCTGCTTCTCGATTTTAGGAACTATATGCGCGAAAAGCCAGCGCAACTCTGATTTACAATCAGATTCTCAAAGTCTTCTGCTCAGGTGTCGTAAACCATTTAGCGGTTACTTTTTTTGAACGTTGAACCTACAGTATGGACATTTAGTAAAAGAACGCACCCCGACAAGGTGAGTTGCATTGAGGAGCTCCCATATCGACTGAACTCCAGTAAACCATTATACGTAGTTGTAACAATCCATGATGCGAATCCAGACGACACACACACCCATCGCCTTTAAATGCTGCAACAAACAGCACTTCACCTCCCATTCTGAGGTGAAAAAACACCAGGTACCCATCACATCTTTCAAAAGGTGCACCAACACCGGACAGTTATCATCACATGAAAAAGAACACAATAGCAGAACGACCTAAATCCTAAGAATAATAAGGTGCAACGGTCGTTATCTTTGCATCCCAATAGTCACCTTCACTGCAGACATCCAAATTGATAACAGACCTGCCACTTTCGCTTGAAAGTCGAGAAACAATGAAAATAGTTTTTGGTCACAAAACAATACGCAAACACCATAGATGAGAGGCGTAAAACTTAGAATTTTACAAATATATTTCCTCCTGAAGTATCAGTTCCACAAAATAAATACACCTGTGACGCATCAGAAGGGCCGTCTGAATGGCATAAATTTCAATCCATAAGACCACAAGGATTACCAAAAATGATGTTCAGAGGTTGGCAATGGCAAGAGGCATAAAAACGACAGTAAAACAGCATGCAAATGAATGGTGAAATTGAGCAGAATGCCAAGTATCGAGGGGAAACTACAGGTGTCTAGGTTCAGCGAAGAGGAGTAGAGGCACGCTGACGTCGAGTGGGTCGCAAAGCGTAAAGTGAATCTAAAACATTTAAAAGTGTTGTTAAAGGCCTAGTGCTATGGGTAAAAACAAACTTGAACAAGGCCGAAACATACTACAGTAAGCCGTGAAAAAGCATTTCAATCTACTAGGCGTTTAATAGTACAGTAAATACTCATAAATTTGTCCAAGGACGGGTCTGTTTCCGAAGTGAACATCGATAGACTTTACGAGCGAGACAAGTGAAAGGCAACCCACAAGAGGTTATTTTTAAGTTAATCTGAAGAAAAATTTGTATTACAATATTGTAAAATTTGATCAGAAGAAACACTGGCACCGCGTTGGTACTTGGGCACCGAAGACAGGGAGAGCGTGGAAGTCGTGTGCATAAGAACGTACCAACCAAATCAGACTCATTGAGAGTGGCAGTCAACTCTCGCCCGTCACCTTCAGAGCCGCTCAAACGCCCATTTGGAGTGGAGGCCAATGTGAGCTTTGGGGAGGGAGCTGATTTTTTATCTCTGCTAGTGAGATAGGTGTCCACCGTACCGCCGTTACCAAAGCTGACTTTCGTCATTAGATCCTTTGACAACGGGGAATGTTCCAGAGAAATGTCGGCTTTTACCTTCATTTGCCGTGATATATGAGGCCGCGGTGTTCCCGTGGCTGGACGCGACGAAGGTGAAAAGGGATGCGAAGTATTGATGACTGATGCCGACTGTGGCGAAGCAATATGTTCTTTGCGAATGCGCTTTCGAGGTCGCGAAAGGGGGACAGCAAAGGAATCACCAACATCTTCCGTTTCAGTCGTATTAGCAGAAGCGCTGCATTGTAAAAACAGTCATCATAAGTGAAGCCACACTGTTCGATGTATCAAATTTGCAAATTAACACCTAGAAAATGAAAAGAAATTAAACGCTATTGACTATCAAAACACAAACTAACTCTAGCACAGAGTCGACATTTCCCTCTATGCCCTTGGATAGCCCCAGCGGCTTTGGCTGTTGCCTGCCTGACTGCAGTTTGCTTCCGCTACTTGAAGCTTTTAAAGGTATATCTGGAGACGCTGATTCAGTTGCCGGGGCAGCTGGCTGAGCAAACAACCTTCCACGCCGTGGGGTCTTCAAAGGGGTATTTTTCATTTTCACCATGATGTTAGAACTCTGACTTCCAACCACTGATACTTGAGATCGGCTGCACTTTGACGTGGTTGCTAAATACCAACGCGAAGAATGAGCATAGAAACTTGATACTGTAGCCTGCTCTTCAAACAGTATAAGCATCAAAGCTGAGGCAATACAGAGCTGCAAGTGTTAAGTAATGCTCTACTATTCCAAGCAAAAATACATTTGCTCAAGTCAGAAAATCATAGGAAAAAAACAAAATATGGGCGTCCAGTAGGGTACTAAGTTATACACAAAGAGTTCAAATAACCTGGTTATTCAAAACAAAGAAGGCGGAGAATATTGGAGCATACCAAGAGAGTCACACTTCTGTGAACTAACATGCAAGGTGTCCACGCTTCCTTCCATCTCCTTCTTCTTGGCCATCAACTGTCTTTTGAACTGTGAAAAGTTGGAATGTCGCACCAACTTGGACGCATGCAGTTTCGAAGAATTGGATTTGTTTGACGACGAAAGAAGACGCTTAAAGAACACAAAAATTAGCAAATCCCCCGGATAGGTTGATCTTGAAAAGTATTTTAAGATTTAAATCACATAACGGCAGGATGGGTCTATGATCGTTCACCAGTCATCAATGGAGCTAACCTAACCCATTGAAAGATGACAAGTAAGAAGTACAACCTTTAGTGTGCCCTTAGGCTTCAACTTTGGTGCAGGTGTAGTTGCAAAGGCATCAGAGTCAGAAGGTTGGATAGGCCTTGATAAATGGGAACCTCCGAGGCCCTTCCTTTTCTTAATGGAAAGACTATCGGTGATCCTGGCAGGGGTAACTGGCGGAGTGTTGAAGGCCCAACCAGAGACCTCCCGCCATCTGCGTAGTCTTTCAAAAGACTTATCAATATCGGCAATCTGCTGCGATATTATAGCCCACATCCCCAATAGGTCGTTTATACTAGCACGCTGTTGGGGCGTTACGTCTACTTCATCTTGTTGCTGTCGAAGGGAAGCCTCCGTCAAGTCGACGAGAGAAGAGAAGAAGGGAAACTTCTTGGCGAGTAATAAACCACACTTGCCGACAGCTGCGCGGATGCTACTGATAGCTAATTAAAAATGAACTTATAGTTACATGATATCACAGATCAAGAGTAAGAGTCAAACACGCACCAGTCTCAGGAATTGATTCACCTTCTTCCGACATTACATCTTCCCATGCTGCTTTGGCAGATGACAAACGCGAGGCTTCCAAACGCACAAGCACACGAAACTCGCTAACCGATGTTGGTTCCTTTGGGGAGGTTCCTCGACTTTCCATTATTTGTGGCGACGAGACTGCTTGCCCATCCTGAAAGGATTGTCCTGCATTTTCCAGAGGAGGTATATTCTCATAATCGTTCGCACCGTCGATATCCATGATCTCCGACCTTTCATGTGGCAGAACCTTTTGCACCGGTGAGACTGGAGTATTTTTATATTTTGGTGAGCCCAACCTGGAAACGTAGACCGCGGTCGACTAACTACAGCTCAAAACATTTTAAAATGCCCTTGTATATTTAACATAGTTCTATTGTATAAAACTCGATCTGAAAATATCCAAAAATTTCATCAGACATCTCTTAAAAAAGGTGGCGAAGACTTCGCAAAACCAACATATCAAAGGGCAACATACTTCGAACACGTGGAATAACGAAAAGGCGTTTCAGGATTGCCCGTTGTCCTACGGCGATTAAATGCAGCAGGACGTGTAAGTGACTGATTACCCTCGGAGAAGGACACTGAGTGACCGAATGAGGCAAACTTCGACATCACAATGGCAGACATGCGACGACTACTAACAGCTGCCAGATCTTTTGAAGCCGGTACCCGAATCGGAGTACGTTCATAGTCCACTACTGAGGTGAGAAATTATAGCATGCAACATACAGTCAGCGGTGAATAATTTCGACTGTTTTAGAGGCCTATGACGGACTTCTATCATTGGGCTGGCCAAAATTGCTTCAATTTTGTCGTCAATCCTTCTTATTTTTCTTAAATCTGTGGACTTTCGCAAGATGAACTTCGAAGAATTCCTCGATACGGGCCTATGCTTTTTACTAAAAGAGGTTTCTGATTCCCTGGAAGGTGAATCCGTTCGCCCGCGAAACACAGAAGACTTCACCGCAATCTCATCATCAAACTCAATTTCATCAGCAGATATATCGGCGAACCTAAAATGTACACCCCCAGGTGTTCGCGGAACGGCGCTCGCGTGAGTTCGAGACATTAAACTGTTAAACACAAAATCGCAAGTTAAAAGATGATAGAGATAGCAGACTGCAAAATTCAAGTGGTGATGGATCAAATAAAAGCCCACACAAAATGAGTTCCCAATGGTAGAACTTGTTTTGTAATGGAAATCGGTACAAAACCGTAAAAGAGCATACCGGCATACTATTAAACCCCAGCTCGAGAAGTCCACCTAATGCATAGATCAGAAATGGGTAAAATTTATTTAAACCACTGCAGCACCAAAGATTAGGGCTTAAAGACTCTATTCAAGTCACACACCGCACATACAATAACTCACCAAAGTTCCAAAAATCAAATGAGCAAACCACAAACACCCCGCCCTCAATACCAAACAGCATATTCAGTACATTAGAACTGCTCCTGGTTTAGAAGAAGTTAACTATATCGACTCAAATTTAAGAGCGTGATTGTATGTAGATGTCTTCTAATATTCAGCGCTATAATATGGGGCGTTACCTTAGTTGCAGTAATCATTCCTTATTAATGCTAGAACCCATAAATATTGAATTAACAAATGAATTAATTTACTGTTTTTAATTGATGTCTCAACAATGCAACTTAAGATGTCTGCAAACATCCGTAGCCATTGCAGTGGCTCAAAGATCAGCCCATCCAGGGAATGCATAACACGATGCTTAACAATGAATTAGGTCAATATTTAAGCTGCAGCGTCTCGGGACTTCCAATCGGGTGGAAGAAGGAAGTAAGTGGAGCTGGGTGCATGGGTCCCTTGGAGAGCAAGGAGATCAAGCCTGAGCTTGGCTCGAAGTAGCCCACGATTCCAAAAGTAAAGTGTAACAACGTATTGCACAAACCATCATATTCACCTCGTACCAACAAGCACGAAGTTAATATCCTCGACTCAGAAACATATTTATAAGATTCATCTGGTGATGTATTCTGTGGACGCCTTATTCGGCATAGTAAGGATTAATAAATTTAGGTATAAAGAGCAAGAAGGGAAAACAAGCGCTGTAAAGCTTTGTTTGTGTGACCACTTGACATTGGGCGGTTGCTTTAAGAGTTGTCTGGCCATGCTTAGGCTTAATTACTTTGTCCTCCATGGAATACATATATCCAGCTCCACTTGCTGTTTCTTCTAGCCTGCGGAAAGTCTCGGGACGCTACAAGTACAGCACCTACGGTACTTTTGAGAAGCGTCCTCATTTGCAAGGGACATTTTAAACACTCAGTGTACATTACATAGATAATGCCAAAACAGGCTCCGATAACTTATGACGCTCAATGCGCTTACGGAGTTCCTTTTGGTACCAGTTTAGGCAACGGACTAATGGCGACTTTCCATTGTTATCCTTTCTACACTTTGTGCCTCTTAATCTGGTAGGCTCTTATTTGCTTCAAGAATTTCCATGCTCTTGTTGCACAAGTTACTCTAATTGATCTGCGTCTTGTCTAAAAAACCAATTTCAAGCACTCTTCCTGTAGCACTCCAAGACTTCTCACCAAGTGGGAGAAGGCATTAGGTAGGGTTGAATACATGTACACCAGGAAGACAAGAAGTTGTTAAGCTTTGGCTTGGTCCAAAGGCCAGCCCACGCGAACAAAGGAATTTGAATACACAATTTACCGCCAGATATGCGAGTGGGCACACGAACAAGACATTGTAGCAGGTGCATGGTTGGAGGCAAGGGAATTGTCACATTTCCTTGGGACGTTGTCATTTCTTCTGCTCCTTCTTGGTAATCCATTGTGAATTTGTGGATTTGTGAATTTACGCAATCTAAATCTGATGAGAACCTTTTGCATGGTTCATCGCAGTTGTTGCTTCCGTTGCTAATTGCCCTTTTGCAGAGCACGAGACTACACTAGTTGTTGATGATCAAATTCATTCTGGTTCTCTCTAATGTGGTACAACAGTAAGTGTACTTCTTCCAGGTCATTTAAAGTTGGATGAATGGTAAATTTTGCAATATAAATTATTATAAATCGGGTTCGATTTATTCGAAGACAAAAGAAGGCAGGTTTTAGTATGTCTAATCATCAAGGAAAGATAGGCAGGCCCTTGTTATGGTTTGGAGGTCATCTCCTCGGTTTAGGCTACGTGGTCACCTAAGTCGCCGCAGCCACAACCGAGAGTCGAACAAATAAAACCTATGTACACCTTGTCGATTATATTGTTTCGGCTCCTTTTGGATAGTTGTGGCATCTTTTTCTGTCAATGACTTAAAGTGTGGCTAAGTTGTCGGAACGATCTCGCAAATAGTTTTTAAATTTATCAGTTTACTGTATGTGAATTCTTTGGAGCAGGTGCAACTGCTCTCGCCACTAATCGGTATTACTGTGCATAAAGTAGTGGGTCCTTCATTTTGGGTGATTTATTTCGCCTTAAAACCATTAAGATAGTCGTGAGCTTTTACTTTACTGTACTACTTATTGGCTTGCCTTACATTTAAGCACGATCCTTTTGTTTGGTGGCAGCACCAAGCAGGCCGGCATACTTGCAGAGATGGTCAAATAACTTCTCACAACATTTTATTCCGGATTGATTGCTAACTTAAACAGATCGTGGAACAGACTCCCGTGCCGGCTATCATGCCTCTTACTGAGGCGCATTAGAACACGTGTCAAAGTTACGATTAACTGACTCTCATTCCTGTACCGATAGTTAGCAACTTTTAAGATTATCTATGAAGACCGGTGATTCGCAATAGTTCTCTTCTTGATCTCCACTTGCCACCTGTCCATTTACTCTTCCCATCCATGTGACAACAGTACATACCGAAATTCCTAATCAACACTAGTAGAAATGGTCTAATTTTTCCACCCAGATGTAATTAATATAATTTTCGGTAATGCCATTAAAGTACCTTCATGGAAATTTGTCGACAGAGTTAATACGCTATCTGTTTTAGCAAGGACATACATTCTCACCCTTTCTCTTTGCATATCTAGGCTGGTTCTACAGTTGACTTGTAAACATGACGTCATAAAACACAGCGACACCGCAGAATCATTTACCCTACCATCTTTTAAGAATGGCAAGAACACCTTATTCTAAGGAGCTCAAGACAATTAACCAGAATTTCTGGCTTTTGATAAGAACCCAGTTAACCTTCTACCATCAAGCAATCTGTGGCAAGATCTGCACTATTTTTTGCTAATCTAACAAGTAATTGCTTGCTGTCCGCTCGAAAAATTAGTAAATGGGAAAATACTGCACTATTAGCAGCGCCAATGAGTCCCTCCCTTTCAAAGGTGCCAGGAACTCTGAAGTTTGGTTTAAGACCACAAAACTTAGTCGCTCTCTCCTCCTTCAGTAGCGAGGTGTAACTCTTACTCTTCCCGTACGTCCCCAACAAAGAATGGGATTTAAGAATAGACCCTGCTCCTTTTCCACATCCAGGGCCACCATGCACAATGTATAATCCCAAATGTGAGAGAAATTTAAAAGTTTGCCAAGAAGCGGCAAACAAGTCCCACTCTCGGAATTTCAAAAGGGGTTAAAAGTACCGTAGAAAGTGGAAAGACTTCAACACCCTGAGCACATGTCCTATGGTTAGCCAGCATGACCATTCAAGCTGGTGCTGCATAAAACACAACCCATTATCAGCATGATTAATTCAGGTGCAAATATATTTTAAAAAATATGCATTCCAAGGTTATAAGCTTTGTAAATAAAGATGTCCATCAGTATTTCATGCTTGTAGGCGACGAGGAACTGAGCGTAAATTCGTTACCATCATCCCTTCATCCGTGTGTACTGTATACTAAGGTCTATAAAAAACAGCTTTTAAATTTTAAACTGCTCTATGTATTTATTACACAGTGTATAATTCGAATATTAAAGTTTATTTTAGCACGATGATTTGTTTTAATTCTTATACAGCCTTGAAGATGAGTCCACAAGATTGTAATTATAGTACACAGTTTGTGGCTGATATCGTGATAGTTCCATGACCAATTCTACAATTAAATGCGTTTTGGTTGGCGATGGTGCAGTTGGAAAAACTTGCCTTCTAATGAAAAAAGTGACTGGAAACTTTCCCACATCATATATACCGACGGTAAATTCCCACCTGCTTTTACTTTCTAGGTGTTTGATAATTACACAGTCCCCATCGAAATAGGAAAGACAACATATCGGCTGAGCTTAATAGATACAGCAGGTCAAGAAGCGTACGAAAATATAAGAAGGCATGTATATCCGGATACAAGCGTATTTGTGTTGTGTTTCTCTGTGACTCTTCGAAGTTCCTTCTGCAACGTTGTAGACAAGGTGCGAAGTTCGAAAATTAAGCACAATCAACCTACTGCTAACTGTATTTTGGGCTAAAGTTTACGATTGGAAATTTGAGTGCATTCGCCTTGATGAGTTTGTAATAACTATTTTGCATTCGGCTTCACATTGATACTGATAGATTGTAACATCATGGCTAATATCCTTTTTATATTTTGCTTAAATAAGAAGATTATACCATGTGCTCATTTTTGGAGTGAAATTAGCTGACTTTAGGTTAGCTAGCTGTAAAACCGTTTCGAAAAGCATCTGAATATTTGTTAGTTTTTCACTTGATACTAATAAAAACATTGATAACTGACATATTTAAGCTATACAAGCGCTTAGTTTATGGGATCATCTTCCTTTTACACCAATCGTGCATTTATAAGCACTTTCTCACAACTTTTAGTGGGTTAGAGATATTCGATCGGTTTGTCCGACTACACCAATTCTCCTAGTTGGATGCCAAACCGATCTCCGTGGAGGTTCCAACTCAACTGCGACTCCATATTCTGAAGGCAAAAAGCTCGCAAAAGATATAGGAGCGGTACAATATGTGGAATGTTCAGCTAAGACAAATGTGTGTTTGCTTACATTTTTTTTCACCAAAATTATATTTCAATTTCTTTCTTACTAATTTTTAAGAATGTATGTCATT